GCAGTCAAAAGTCAACAGAATATCTAAAGATCTTTTATACATAATCTCATATATAATATACATGAGCAAGAAGCGTATTCTCTAGCAGCCACTATACCTAAGTAAAAATTTACATAGTGCATTCAGGTCAAGTTTATGCAAGTGTAGACCTTATCATCATATACAAACGCAGGAAAACAAATGTTTGCCGCGTGCAACAGACGCAATCTGTGGTTTGGCGGTCTCTCCTGAGACATCAAATAGATTCGCACATCAACATTGAATGCAGTGGCAGTGATTATGACGAATGTCATTATTCTGTATTGGTGTTCAAATTATTTTTGCGGTTAGTTTCAATCCCACCTATTCTTCAATTTTGCTTTGACCCAATCATGTGGTCTGGGGCCCTGGTTTGATTGTGTGTAAATAATTATGGAACAAGGATACCAAATTTCAGCGGAATTCTGAATTCAGTAACCAACTGATCTCTTGATCAATATGGGACAGCTTTAAATTTTTACAAGGGAATTTGTCTTTTGTATTCCCTACTTGATTTTTTGAATGAAGGACTCATTTATTTTGTACCTATTCATCTTTTTTTTTCTATAAATAAACACACTTTTTTTGTTTATTTGTATGTCACATTTTATTCATTTTAGCCTATAAACTATGACCTACAGTCAAAAATCTGTAATAATAGCTTTGTTCGGATTTGAAAAAACAACGGATCTAGAACGGTTCAAAACAATTGCACAGTTTATCAATCAAGACGCTCGGCTATCACATATTTCAATAATAAACTGTGCGATTGTTTTGAACTGTTCGCACTTTGGCAGAGCTTTCCCTCTCCCAAACTGTGCACACCTCATGGACTTACCAAAAGACGTAGTTGTTGATAAATTCAGTTTCGAGAAAAACTTTTCCATCGAACTAAGTACAAAGAACAGATGGAACATAGAATGTATCCAGTCCCTTAAAGCAAACACCATCAAATGGTTCATAGACGGCTCCAAAACTGCTGAGGGGACAGGAGCCGGAGTATTCGGGCCACGAACCAGATACTCGGAGCCAATGGGTAAATGACCAAGCATATTCCAAGCAGAACTTCATGCGATCGAAAAATGCGTGCAGTTCAACCTGAACAGAAGGTACCGAAAACGAGAAATTGTATAATGTCTGACAGCCAAGCAGCTATCAAAGCATTGAGCTTGCCGGTAATCAATTCTAAGATAGTATGGGAATGTCTACAGAAACTCAATGAGCTGGGGAAGGAAAACAAAGTAACCCTACTCTGGGTTCCTGGACACATAGGAGTCGAGGGCAATGAATGCGCAGACGAACTTGCGAAAACGGGAGCGGCCACTCCCTTCACGGGGCCAGAACCATTCTGCAGCGTCGGAAATGCGCACCTCCAAGAAATCCTCAAAAAGGAAGACAACCGGCTAAGGAACAAACAATGGCTAGACCAACCAGGACTACGACAGGCCAAAGACTACTGGGTAGCTACAACCAAAAAATATCTGAACTGCTGGTCAACCTTAGCAAGAAAAGTCTCAAAACTCTAACCGGGTTTCTCTCGGGACATTGCAGACTGAATAAGCACCTACATTATCTGGGGTTGGAAGAAGGTAACACTTGCAGATTCTGTGAACATGGTGAAGAAACACCTCACCATCTTCTACTGAACTGCGATGCCGTAAGCCGCTCAAGAATGAAGAACCTGGGAAGTCTCCTTATACAGCTGGAAGACATTCCAGCCCTGGAACCGCTAGACATCCTAAAATTCCTAAAGGACCTAGGACTAGAGGGGCTGCTTTAAGCAGGAAACCCGAACTTAGCAGCAGAAGGAGGGGTACAAATGGTACAATAGATCAACCTTGGTCGCAGTGCAACTGACACCTCCAACACATACATACATACATACATACATACATACATACAACTGTTCTAGAAACCCTTTTCGCAAACAGGAACAAAGCTTGAATTTCAGCTGAAGATGAGTAGTAGGCAACACACAAAACAAGAAAAACATGATATATGTACTTGCATCAGAAACATCGTCGTGTGAGAGAGTTCACCGCCACGAAATCATATTTTATGTTGCCTTTCAACAGAGTAAGTTAAAACATTTACTGTAGGTCACAAGACACCCAAAATAGTTACCCGTTGGTCACCGATGACATACAGGGCACTATTAACAAGGTAAAAAATAAATTGAAAGCAAGAACATTGATGTTTCGCAATTGTTTAAAATCATTTGCTTCAGATAAACAATAACCTGAGAGGTTTTGGACTGACAGCCTGCACTTTCAAGGCATCATCATAAATACGATTCCATACAAAAATTTCACACAGAGACCTAAATTTTCAATCGAATGCGCTAGTAGTTCTCCATTAAGGTAGTGTGGAGGAAGTCTGCCTCTAAAAGTTTTCTGAACGAAGCTACTCTATGCTATGCACATAAAGCAATTTCGAATGACCATCGCCAACAATGCTGCTTTTCCGTAAGGTGTTGTTGACAGTAAAATTCACGTCTATTGAATTGATAAGCGATCCATTTGTGCTTAGCTTGGTTCAGAAATTTTTTGGAGTAGACTACGTAGGTATTTCATATTTAAAACATCATTTGGTTGAATTTTATTGATTTTTTTTGATGATTTTGATTGAACATCATTGCTGCTTTTCCATAAGGTGTCGTTGACAGTAGTTTTCACGTGTAGGTATCATGTATCAAATTGGTAGGACTGAAGAGGCAATGACAAATTAATACAAGGTACAAGTGACAAGAGACAAAAATATAATAACACGTGTATCAATACTGTAACCCAAAATAAAAGGATACAAATACAAATTTTCGAATTTTTGGTATTTTGTATCTTTTTTCTTGTACCTTGTATTTGTTACTGTGTCTTCAGCCTAAGCGATCCAATTGCGCATAACTTGGTTCAGAAAGTTTTTGGTGCTGGAATTTTTGAAGTGTAGGTACCTCATCTATTCAAATCTCGAGTATAAAATGGTACCAAGCTATTAGTTAATGTGTCAACCACATGTCCTCAAATAAAAAAGCCTATAAAAAAAAATATTTGATGATTTTTAAATTACTACAGTGTAGCCTTTTGATAAGTTCTGTGCCCCAAAAATGGTCATCCAACAAACATTATTCAGAATTGATAGAACACAAAAATGTAAGCCATGAGATATTTTAATCTCGATTTCAATTGAGATTTTAATTTAAGAAAGTCTTACAGCCGTATTCATAGTCAATCGCCAGTGAGTCGCCGTGTGCTGGGCCAAATACGGCGACTCGCTGGCGATTGACTATGAATACGGTTGTCAGTCAGGTGGATACAATCTACACAGATTTCTTCAAGGACTTTGATAGGGTCAATCATCAGATTCTTCTGAAGAAACTATCGCTATATGGCCTATTTGGAAGTTTTCTTGGGTGGTTGGAAAGTTATCTATCAGAAAGATCTCGAATTGTATTTATTAATGATTGTCAGTCCTTTTCTGTTAGAGCTTGCTTGGGGTACCTTAGGGGGGTCACCTATTGCCATTAGGTATTGTTCAATCTTTTCATTAATGATTTATGTCAGTGCATAGAAAATTCAACTTTTTTACTTTTTGCAGATTATTTCAAAGTGTTTTTGATGGGTAAAGATATTACAGACTGTCTTAAGATTCAGCAAGATTTTAACCTTTTTAATTTGTGGTGTACAAATAATTGTTTACTCTTGAACACAGACAAGTGTAATGTTATGCGATTTTTTAGAGTTCATAATCCTATAATATTCAATTACTCTGTCAACAATATGATTCTTAAAAGTGTCGACAAAATCAAAAATCCTGGAGTATTATTTTTATTGTTCACATTGAAAACAGCTACAACCAATGTTCAAGATAGTTGGGGTTCATATCCCACACTCTGGAAGAAATTGACAACATATGCTGTTTTAAGTTGTTATACTGTTCCGAGTACTGTTCCTCAGTTGTTCTATTATTGAATATGCCAGTCCAGTTTGGAGTCCACATTATTTTAAATACAAGGAAATGCTGGAGAAGATACAAAGAAGATTTTTGCGAATTGTTAATTAGAAAGTTGAAATACCAAAAGAGGACATTGATTATGCCTCCTTACACAATTTATGGAATATTGACTGCTTAGAAAATAGGAGATTTATGTTGGATGTTAAATTCTTGCTTAAACTTATGAATAATAGTGTGGATAGTCCCAGATTGCTGGAACTGGTGTCTCTGGAAGTTCCCCAAAGGATAACGAGGAGTTTCTCCTTGTTGCATGTTGGTTTTCATAGAAGGAATTTATTTATTTATTTATTTATTTATTATGGAATGAACTCGCCTTTGAACAGAATGGCTAGTTCATTGAATAGATTGAATACCTATCGATATCTTTCATGTATCTCTTGGACAGTTTGTAGAATCGTGAAACAGTTCCTGGAGTGTGAGACATGAAAATTCCAAATACCTAAATTAGGAATTGTAATTAAATTGTGATCAAATTGTATCTGTTATTTTTTCTAAATTGGAACATGTTATTGTTTCAGATCAATATAATTGTTAAAAATGTGAATGGTACCTAAATACGTCGAAATAAATAAAAGATAAATAAATGAAATGTAACAAGAGTTAATAATAATTGTATGTTTTGATGCATCATATGGCAAGTAAAATAATTACAACACTCGACATTTTCCAGTTATCCTATTAAAAAGCCAGTTCTTGGTTCTCACTTCTCAGTAACATACAATTATCAAGTCAAAACTACTTTTCTTTTTATCAATGATAACACAAAAATTGTTGAAATGTGATATCAAGGATAAATTGAAAAAGGTAGGGAATATGTTATTCATTAACTTCTTTTTCAATGAAATATACCTATTTTTAATTATTAAATATGTTGAAAGTATTATTATATGACAGCTTAGTAGATTTTTTACATGCAATTTAACAATAAATATTCCGCAGATTGCAAAAAAAGCATAAAAGAAAGGAATGTTTACCTCTGTGATGTCGATCTCATTATCTGAATCCGAGGAAAGCTCCACTGTCTCGACATCGTGCAGTTCTATATCGAAGACCGTCGCCATAATTAACGATTTTAATTTAAATTAAAACATTTAACTTGGAACAATGCAATAATTCACTTTCGAAATTAAAAACTCCCAGGGTAATTTCCTAAAATCTTATGAAACACCAAACGACAGACACCATTTAACAGGACACGACGGAATAGGGTTATGTTGTGAAGAGATTTAAAGCGAACGCTAAGGTAGCGTGAGCACGACAGACATTGCGCAGTGTTGCCACTAGAATGGTTAGTAGAAATATTTGAGAAAAAGAATTTCATTGATAAGTTCAAAGTTCGGCGCAAGCGTGCACTGAGTATTTGTCACTGTTGTCTGTTATGAGCCATAGGGATGGGAAAATCCACTATTCTTAAATAACAGTTACAACTGCTACTGTTTATTTTGAATAATAGAGACTTTTTGCACCTCTTAAAATAACAGCAGTAATAGCTACCTTTACTTTATCGGCGATAACGATTACCACGACTTTCAAAATCAGAGATTTTGCATCGCCAAACATTTACATATTTCCGGTATTCTATTTTGCCTCTTGGCAATGAACTGCGCCTGCGCCTTCGGATGTAAACCAATTTCATAACATCTTATGATAATCCACACTTATTTTTTCAGAATTTCAGATGATAATCAATTATTTATTAAAACGGGATAACATCTATTCAATTTTCTTCAATGTGGCATCCACACACTTTTACCATAACCATAGGTATAGCTATAGGCACAAGGTTATTTCTCCTTGAGAGACTTTTTGCACCTCTTATTTTGCCATTTCGCTGTGGCTATCGTTATACTGACTGAGTATGCGCAGTAGCTAAAAAATGTTCGTTGTACTTATCAACCACAACGAGCGGCGTTATTTAAGGAGGAATAACCTTGTGCTTATAGCTATACCCAGAGCTGGGCAGTAGCTAGCTACCAAGTAGTTAAGCTACTAGCTTAGCTACTTTTTTGGTAGCTAATAACTTATTCAAGCTACTTTCAAAAAAAAGTAGCTTCTAGCTTTAGCTTTTGGTAATGTGTTTCAAGTATTCATAAGCTACTGTGAAAAGTAGCTAGCTACTGAAACAAGCTACTTAAGCTACTTTTGGTAGATAGTTAATAGTTATTTAGGTACTAATGGCGGAAAGTGTCATTTACCGCCCGAGGGTGTGGTTAACGATACTTAACGCCCAAAATACTTATTACGTTTTATGCGCAGCGGACTCTTCTAGTTCAAAAATGAAATAACTATACCTATAATATAATGGCATCCATTCGACATTGTTTTCAAAAATAAACAGTTTTCCCCTTATAAAGGCACGTTTCCACCAACCTATCGCCCGCGTTTGAATTTACCGCTCGATAAAAGTAACTTTATACTTTAATTGCTCAAGCTACAATTATCATTTTCCGGAAAATTCTTATCCTGCCTTGCTTAGACTAGTCTAGTTATCTCTGTAGGTACCTCAGAGGATAGGTACCTATGTTTTATGTGTCCTATTTTATTCTCGCATTCGCAGATCACTGTGATCAAAGTGAACCTAATAAATTAATGTCCAGTGGTTTTTGACAAAAATATGAATACTACTTCTTAGAGAAAGTCAATATGTTATTTTCGTATGATGATATCATGAAATTAAATTAGGTAAGGCATGTACAGGGTGGGCCAATTTGGACACTTCCTTATGGAAACACCCTTTATTTTTAGAGATAGAAAAAAATGAACCCCCGACTCTGAGGCTCAAACTTCATGAAATTTTGATTGGTGCAAACCGCTTTTTGATATCTTCAGCCGTTTAGTCGCTAGAGGGCGATTCTCGATTTTGAGCAACATTTGTGAACCCTTATTCATAACTTTTTTGTTTATGAAAATAATTGATTTCCGTAAAAACTTTCTGGAAGCACTTTTTAAAACAGAATTCAGGGACGTTCTCAGTTTTTTTTCTATTTAGCGCCGAGTTTGAGATATTGACCAAAGTCTGATTTTTTTCAATGGGACACCCTTTATATTGATAGCTCATTGCAAAGCTATGATTTTTCTGATTTTAATGATATAAAGTTCGATAGGTGTAACTCTAACCGTTTTCGAGAAAAAAAATAATTTCGGTTTTTCTCATAAGAAGCAATGTGTTAGAAAAGGACTTTATATCTGTAAGGAAAATGAAAAAGGTCTCTTTCTAATACATTGTTTCTTATGACAAAAACCAAAATAATTTTTTTTCTCGAAAACGGTTAGAGATAAACCTATCGAACTTTATATCATTAAAATCAGAAAAATCATAGCTCTTCAATGAGCTATTAATATAAAGGGTGTCCCATTGAAAAAAATCAAACTTTGGTCAATATCTCAAAATCGGCGCCAAATAGAAAAAAACTGAGTAGTAGTAGTGTGTATCATCCTTGGCATCGACCGACAGTCTTCTACTACACGGCGTTCATTCATCAAACGTGAGAAGGTAAATTTTTTGTTTAGGTGTTATTTTTTACCTGTTAATTTTGAACTAAAACAAGTTGCAACGCAACCGTTATTTCTAAATAACAGCTTTTCAAGGATAATACACACTAGTACTACAGGATAGCCTATCCTGATGAGGCCTGTTTGGAACAAATCTGAAGCCTCCCACCATGCCAAATCACCAGCAGTGACATAGACAGCATGTCCTTTCTCGCATTGACGTATGCTGCTCGCACTACAGTTATGATTTCGCGGGCTTTTGCTTTATGCATACTATTGGTTTTACTACATTAATTACCATTCTAAAACAACTCTTTTTTAGATCTCGTTTTCATCTTCCTCTTTGCCTATTATGTTAATCAAAATTGAATAATATTTTCAATCATAAATTCAAATTCTAATCTACGACCTCTAATGTAAACAGCTGACGACTTGTTAATGACGTCGGAAATGGAGACACACCAATATGGCGGCGATTACCAAAAAACGAGGCCGATAAGCAATCCTTAGTAGTGTGTATTATTATCCTTGGAGAAAAGAAAACGATAGAAAAGAAAACCGAAAAAAATCCGGCTATTGGCAACACTGAGACGCTTTAGGCTACGGTTACAGCAAGAATATCAAGGATTTACTGTATTCCTTTTATACATAGAGTTACACCGAACGTGTCGCTCTAGAGCTCCTCGGAGTCAGTCCAAAACACACAATTCAGGTATTATCATTATTTTTTAATATTAACATAACCCAAAAGGGCTTCTTGCACCCTCCGCAAATTTGGTGCATCAGGGGAAAGGGGGTGCACTATGAGCGACTCGAGGGCTTAGCGCATTTTTAAAAGGAACGTTCAAACTTTTGGCATTGAGCAGCTCGGAGATACTCAACGGGGAAAAGGAACACAGCTCATCGACCTCGATTTTTGGGATCAAGATCATATGGTGTTGCACCGTTGTCGACGTCATCAGCCACGTCGTCAGCTGTTTGCGCCAGCGGTCGTAGTTTAGAATATACATTTATGATGAAAAATATTATTGATTTAATATATTTGATTTTGATTAAACATAATAGACAAAAAGGAAGATGCAAACGAGATCTAAAAAGGGGTTGTTACAGAATGGTAGTTAATGTACTCAAACTACAGTGGCGGATTTAGAGGGGGGCGCGGGGGGCGCGCGCCCCCCCCTATTGAGCGACGCAACAACGAAATTTTTAACGAAAACACAAACATATTCATCAAGCATTATCCAACATGAAATTCCATATGGTTTTTGCTATTTTTCCAAATTTTTAATACTTTTAAATACGTTTGGCAGCAGCGAGCTGGGAGCGAATCGACTGCGGATGACGGAAATCCGCACCAACTTTGAATTTAATCTATAATTGAAAATTCCAATTAAATTTAATCTCCGATTAAATTAAATGTTGATGTCAAATGATAGTTTATGAAAATCTAAGATAGGAATGTGAAATCGGTTTTCCTCTGAAATTAACCGTTCAGGTTTTACAGCCTGTCATAAAGTTGCAAAAAGTCAATGTTCAACTGTCAATATTTCCAAAACAGTTGAACTTAGGTATAGGGTATATCACATGAAATCTGCTCAGAATTTTACGTAGAATCCAAATATGCAATCACATACAGGGTGTTTTATTTGAAAAAAAGAAAGTTGGTCTAGATAGCAAACAAACCAGAAGTGACACAGGCAATACGTTTAAGTAGAATTGTGGGAAATATTAGGGACATAAAGCTACTTGAAATAATTCATCGGTATCGGTATCCGTAACGCAACTAGATACGTTGACAAGCGAAAAGGCTGTTAAAGCGCTCCCTGTTCCGGTAAACGTAAACGCATTTCATAACCTAGACATTTTTGTCTCAAAACTTCGGCGTTTTTATATCTAACCTTAAAATTGTTATTTTTTTTGCGATAGAGAAGCACTAAACACAAGAAACTCAAGAAAGTATAAACTAAACAAATTAAATCAATCCGGAAGAAAAGGGAGGTTATATTCATTTGAAATTTGACACATGCGTCAGGAATGTCAAGATACGTTACCGATACGGATACCGCGAGAGGGCCGTAACGTTACGTTGTACGTACGGTATCTCGGCCTCCGTATCGCTTCTGCACATGCGCAGTACGATACCGATACGGATACCGAGCAAAAAATACGGAAGCTTTATGTCCCTAATTTACTGAGCAACTTTCATTAAGGTCACTTTTTCGTATACGAGGTAATTAGAAAGTTACAGGTATTATACGCGACTTTTTTGCCACTCTGTATATTTAAGTCGTTTTTTTATTATTTCTTATCTGAGCCTGAGGCCCTGATGGATCGCCCCCCCCCTAGAAGGAATCCTAAATCCGCCGCTGTCAAACTAAGTATTCGTAAAGCAAAAGCCAGCGGAATTATAGCCTGTGGTCGAGGCGAAACACAACACACAACACGCTGAAACGTCATCACTGGTACTTTGGCATGGGGGGGCTTGAGATTTAAATTACACAGCCCTTATGAGGATACAGTGCAAGCGATTTCGCGTGAAGAACCCGTACAATTAAATTCAGGGCGATTAGGGTTATAATGTCGCAGAAAAATTGAATTTACTACATTGTTACATTAGCTGCTTACGATCAAGCACTTTTCTTACCTAACTTAAAGAATCTAACTTAGTTGCGCGTACGATCTATCACAACTAAGTTAGAATCTGCCTTCCCCCCTTTCCCCTGCTAAGACACCCGGATTTTTAACTGAGATAACTTAGCTGATCTAAGTTGGCGCGAAGTACGCATTTTTTGAATTTTGACGTTTAATAATTTCTAAATTGAGGTTGTTTCTTTATTTTTATTTTGTTAAAAGTTGGTCGTTGGAACAGGAATTTTGGAAA